TTCTGCATGCCTACGTTGAAAAATTTGGAAAACTTATTTTGACCATGATTTAGGCTGTATAGTAAATTAGGGGAGCACTACCCGAGCAGGAACAAATATCTCGATACCCTTAATTGGTATGGATGAGCCTGACATAAGAGGTAAAATACCAAAAAATTATACCAAGAAAATGTTCCCACAATACCATTCCAATACCAAATTATGATAATGCAATACCAAAACAATACCACACAGGTATTCTTTTGGTATCAAAATATCAATTTTTGTTATTTGCAAAGTATTTTGCATGTAATTTTTTGGTATTATTCTTTGGTATTTTACCTCTTATGCCATGCTGATCAATACCAAATTTTGATATCAGGTCAGAATTAGGTATTCATTAGTTATTTTCTCCTGCTCGGGTAGTGCCATAAATGGCAAACTTCCTCTTCCTCTCTTCATAAAAGTCCCCCTATAAAGTTTTGCACCGTCGGGGTTAACCTCAATCTGATGACAGTTCAGTGGTACTGTTTACAATTTTTTCTATGGTAGATTTTCTCGATAATTTTTCAGACTGCAGTGAGATGTAAACCAGAGAGAACAGTTCACAAACTACTCGATAAACACGAAAAAGTAGAAGAAAATATCACTTCAAATCTTCCAAAAGCGTTTCTTCTGACATAACGTATTTCCAACTTTCAACTCTATGATGCATCTGGTTGTTACGCCTTGCACCAGAACTACGAATTATATTGTTTTAATATGCCAAACGTACTGATTCTGTTGTATCTAGTCACGCCCGATGTATCCGATTGATATTTCACGTGTAAACAACGAACAATAAGAAGACCAAAAAATCTCCGGGCGTAATTCCACTCTCACAAAATTTGCGAACGAAGAACCAAGGCGGAACAACAAACAAAAAATCCCGAGGGTGTATTTCCACGGCGTATCACCAGTGTTGGCAGTTCAAAGAATGGAAGATTCGGGGGGTAACAACATGTAAGAAATTATCAGAGCGTATCGAGGGGGACGACTCTATCTACGATGCAGGAAATATTGTGTTTTTCTGTGGCTAACTGCGCGTACGCTGAGTAGATAGAAAGAAGATTTATCACGATTTTGAAGATTTCCTGCAAAAAGATGATGCGCGATGCAAGTAGATGCGAGAAATGAAAGATGATTTTCCGAAGATTTATTCGCTAGAATTGAGATTTAGATTTAGATGTGTTTTTTTTTAGTTTTTAGTGATGCATGATGATAGATTACACTATTAACTATATGTCAAGCTTATAAAATCATCCAGAAAATGGAAAGTCGTGAAATAGGATTAATTTTTAGGTCTTTAGGTTTTTTTGCCGTGGCCCCCTCAACTGTCTACGTAGTTAATAAACAGCCCCTGAGCGGCTTGAAAAAAAAATCATCACTCACAGCTTCCGGATTTTCGTCCGAAACCTCGCCAATTTTTTCTGAATCCCGCTCAGAATCTTGCCTGGACTCTATTTGATTTTGGCCCTGAATTACTATTGGAATCTTGCCTCTCTAGTAACAATTTTGGTTGTATGCGGGTTCTATAGCCGAAGATGCAGACTTGTAGAATGCTAAAAAGCCTCTATAAAGCTTTCAATGTTACTTGGGCTGGAACCTTGTTCGGCACCTCTTCTAGACCCTGATAGTAGCTCGGATAGCAGCTATGACGTGCCGACCCTAAAGCCAGCTTCTGAGTTCTTCAAATACAATTAAATTAAGGACTCGCAATTTTTTTTTTCTTCGAACAAAATTCTCAGCATGGCCCAATTTTGAATAGTATAATTGGGTGATTATGTCTGAAGCTTCAATAAAATCATTCAGAAAGTATTTTAGAGATCGTTATTTTAAAGAAATGTAGCCTAACATTGTACAGTGGCCTAGGGTGGGAATTTAGCAGGAAAGTAGCCCTAGAACTTTTGTTTTATTAGTAAGACGTTTGGTGCCTTTGCTTTGTGTTTAAACAGTTCCTTATTTTGGAGGTTCTAAACATTAGGGTGACCCAGAAAGTAGGGGAAAAGTTGACTTCGGCAATACCTTAACCTATTATCGTCAGGGGGGTAAACAAAGTCCTAGAGCACTCAAATTTGGCCAATAGTTGCTCTGAAACACAATGAATCCACATGCCAAAATTGAGCTCTCAAGGACGTTGTTTACCCCCCTGACGATAATAGGTTAAGGTATTGCCGAAGCCAACTTTTCCCCTATTTGAAATTCAAAAACTAACTTTCTAATTTCACTGAGAGGAAAGTGGGACAATATGGTCAATGGGGAAATGTGGGTACCCGCTTAAAAATCAACTTATTGAACATATTTTACAAAAAAATCTGTTGCAGGCGTAATGCTTGAAGCCTACTTTAACTATCCATTTGATTTAAGTCTAACAAAATACTCTAGAGCAAATATTCGAAAAATGTTAGACTAGCTCAAAATGTCAAAACTGTTATAAGATTTCTGAATCAGAAAAAAAGGCCTATCAGTTGTCATTTTCAGTTGATATTCCTTCAGCAGCTTTATAAATTGTCATTGGTTTCTTATATGACAGGATGTTTCTCTAGTTTTTAATAAACATTAAAAATGTACATAACAAGAAAAAATATTGTTTCATCATGTTTGCAAGCAACAGAAGATTTGATGCTATCTGCGTTGTTTGATTTTTTTCTCCCGGTCCAGAAATTTGTGGAATCGCGAGTGATAATTCTTATTTTAGTTTATTTACGCGGTGATGATGTTGGTTCACTCGCAACTATTTTTGAAAAAAATTAAGTGTTTTCGAACGAAAGTGTACCAAAAGTGCTTCTGAACGTGTTTCGCAGTTGGGTGTGGTGAAATTCGTGCATTCCCGGTTGATTGTGGAAATCCGTATCACAGAATTGCCCACCGATTCCTTTTTTTGCCGTTCGACGACGACGGGTGTGCTTTCGCGAGAGTGACGTTTGTTGGATCCGTTTCTTTGCACGGGTGTGTTTTTTTTTAACTAGCGGAGATTGTGAGTAAGCTGAAGGATGTCTCGCTGGATACGCCCAAGACTGGACGGCGGTAGCTGGTGGCCGTGAACGGTTCCTGGGGAAAGCACTAGATGCGACCCTCCTCCCAGATGACCATGGCAATACAGGTAAAGGTAATTGCTATTGGACATTTTGCAAACAGTGACAGATAGCGGACATGAAGAACCAGTGGAAGTGCCGGGCAGAAGTGTTTATGCTAGACAGATGGTAAGTTACAAATTCGCTGTTGTCGTTGTCGTAGTCGCTGTCGTAATCGCCGTCGTAGTCGTAGGCAGTACCGTTAGTTACCGTTACTGTTGTTCATTACATGCCAAGTGAAATTCGAGAACGTAATTTCATTTGAATAGCTTGTTTAACCAGGTCTTAAACAATCGTCACGTCGGTCATAGCTTGTTATGATTGCCTGAACCATGCGTAAAGAGAAAATCGAAACATTGAACTTCGCGTGAAAGTGGATCTTGATGAAGGCCTCTTTCGTAGCTTTTAGTTTTAGGATTTCAAAGATCGTCGGTTGCAGTGGCTTGCTTACTAATGTGATATAAGGGGCTCGGTGGCCTTAGAGCAACAGGTTTTGCTTACTGAGCAGAACATCATGAGTCTAATCTCAAGCCCATCCACATTCAAGATTCGTCAATCGTTTTATTTGTTAACATGACTACATGGTAATAACAGCAACTCGATGATTAAAAATGAGCTCGTATGCCTAGTGGCAAACGTTTTTGCTTACTTAGCAGAAGACCGTGGGTTCAATCCCAAGCTCCTTCGCGTTATATGATTGTTAGGACATCAATTCAGCTTATCGTTTACCAAAACGAACCCTGCTGCAAACCCAACCCTATTACCCAATATCCCAGTGATTCCTCGTGGAAGTGCAGAGGTGTTCTCGAATTCCATCAAAGCGAGTGTCACGTCAACACATTCCTACCCCTTCCTTTCTTGACCTGCGTTCGGGCGCGGCCGGCGCTGGTATTGCCTAGTTTGAGATCACCAGTTTTTACACATTGAGGATGATTGCTAGTCCCAAGCATCGTCTATTGGTTCCTCTGTGTAATTACAGCTGGTCTGGCAATAACAGAGTAGCAACCGTGGGTGGTCAATCATGCTCATGCTCAACATTAAAGATGTACTTAAAAAAAATATTACTTAAGTCCATTCGTTTTTTTCAAGTTCAGATAATTTTCCAACATTTTAGGAGCGTTTTTTTTTTCAAAAAAAAATCTCTTGAAATTAACTGGGCAATATCTATTGAAAGTTGTAAGAATCGTCAAATAAAAAGCTAAGAAACCCCATTTTATGACATTTACTTCCAATTATTATTCTTCACAATATTGAGTAGAAAATAGCTGAAAATCAACGTTTTGATAGTTGATGATCCCTCGCTATCACAGGGCGATCAAAAGTGCAATGTCACTTGGCTGATTGGAATGAATGACCGGGAGCGATGATGAAAGTGTCAGCCAAGCAAACAAAAATAAACAAAAATGTTGAGCGACTGTTACGAATGGCTGAAGAAGCTGAATTAAGAATGTATGAAAAGAGCTTGTTGTGCGAAATATTTTGTTACTACGAATTTAACAAATTAGGTTACTTCATTAAATAACAGCGAACATTTCTTAGAGCAGCCTACACCCATCAAAGTGATTGATATGTCGGCGAACAAATTGCACCATTCAAAATCTGCTTTATGATAGCGAACCACCTACAAAAGCTATATATGTAGGTACCGCCACGGCTGTACCAGCTCGATTTTCAATTATCTCATCGCCCCAGGTCCACTCTGATCTCTGATACCGTCCATCAGCGAGCTTGAATTACCCACCTCGCCGCCGGATGCATCATGACTCAATAAAGGAAATAAAGGCACGTTTGCGTAGGCAGTGTCACAAACTGCTTATTTCTATTTATCAGATGATGATGATTCAATCGTTTATCTTTCAAAAAAACAATTCGAAATTCCAATGCTGATCTGTACGTAGAGGTACTCACCTTCAGCGCATATTTGTTGCTTGTCTTTTTAGCAGTACACTGAACTACCTTCCCGTTGATTCCCAGTCCCAGCACAGTGTTGGAGATTTCGTAGTCGTCCGTAATGGGGGTGGCCTTGGGCTGGCGCCCGTTTGGACCCCCTCCACCTTGAGGCAGCTGTTGCTGGGGTTGCATCGGAATCGACTTGATTTCGGGCATCTTGTACATGGCTAACTTTCGCTTGCGACTTTCGCCACCTCCACTGCGTTTGCTGCTGGCACTGCTGCTACCACTATTGTTGTTGCTGGTGGTATTATTGCTATTGCTTTGATCCGTTTTGACGGTATTCTTCGTTTTTCATTCACAAGCACTTTTTGTATTCTGTTTTCACTGCACTTCAAAGGTTGATGATGTTCAGCCTATTGCTTGTATACTGCCAAACTTTGCCTGGGAAAAATAAAACGAAGCCTTTCTGAGAATGTGATTGAAATCGATGTTGTTTTTCCCCAATATGTAGTTTTCGTAGAAATGCTCATATGGTACAACACAATATCGACGCGTGACACGATTTTTTATCTGCGAAACTCTGGCGAGGCCATATCGGTGCCTGATGTCGGGAGTTCAATTATATAATACCGCATTCGTTTCAGATGGGATTCTCAGATAAAAACGCACACGTATCGACCAGATGGCTTCTCCGACTGCACACACTATCCTAGCAGAGCATACGGCCTGTCATTTTTTCACACATAATCACTACCCTTGTTCGCTTGAAATCTGCGATTGTCACTAACTTCGCTGAGCAAAGCACTGTGTGTTGCGATTCTCGACCCAAGCTCGCCACTATCTTTCAGAGCTAGCGCTCTCTCTTCTGTTCCGTTCGGTTGTGCGGGTCTCAATGGATTCCTTCCTCAGTCAATCAATTGTGTCATCAACGCAAATAATAAAAAATACCTTGCGTTCATACATGTACACTAGGGTGCGTCAAGTTTACAACCCTCTGCTCAAACAAATGTGCCAAATTTGAACGAATTTGGTTATGATCGGGATTTGCGGAAGAACTTTAAATTTTGTATGGGAAACGGAACAAAACTATTAATTTGCTTTTTTTTTTCCTTGATTTGTTTTCCGTACTGAGTACCAATGCTACCGACGCCAGGAATGCAGCACCCACCCCTGGACCCTGCCTATCGACCCATCAACTCATGGACCGGCTTAACTTCCTTGATGCCTCACAAAATACAGGCGGTGCCGACTGGGATTGAAGAGGGGTACTGGGGTAAGAGGCAATCACGCTTACCACTACAATAAGGGCTGTTCATAAACTACGCAGACAGTTTAGGGGGTGGTTGGCAGTTATCCACGACCCATACAAATTTAAAAAAAGTATGGACAACTGTCTACGCAAGGAGGCCGGATGAGAAGGGCAAGAAAAAAAAAAAAAAAGCTGTCTACGTAGTTAATGAACAGGCCCATACCGGCGCCGCTTATGCATATGCTTGACATAAAATAAGAAATTACTTGATGTTTACGAAATCCGAGACTTAGATTGAGGGAAGTATGTAAAACAACATCGTCGAAGATAACAAATTGATTGTGCAAAAAGTTATTAATCTTTAACTTTAGGCCAAGTGCTCCGCGCCTACAAGCTCATATAATATTACGCCTGGTATACGCGAAACACACTGCCTAAAATTGAAAAATAATATCTTTTCCTACAGAAGTCAAATCGATTTACGATCTTCGACGAAATTGTTTTGCAGTTTTCACAACCCAGGTTTGGGACTTTTAGTAATTTTTGAATATTTAACAAGTAATTGAATAGTTTTGTTGCATTTCCCATGCAAACTTTAAAGTTCTTCGAAAAATCTAGCCCGTAACAAAATTCTTTCAAATTTGACACAGTTGGGGACCTCAATACCGATCAAACGAGCAGGGGGTTCTGATCCGTAATACAAACTTGACCCACCCTAATGTACACACACGGTTTGGGAGATGCGGAATGTATGACTAGAAACCTGTAATTACTGATGTGAACCTTGCTTTACCGGGTAAACATGACTGGCAGCAAATTGTTAAAAGGACCAAGCCCTTGTATATTTTATGCAAAAAAGAAAGACGCAGAAGATAATTCTGAGATAAACAATATGTTATGTGCGTTATGAGTCATGCATCACTGAACAATTACATCCGGAAAGCTTCATTTTTTTCTAGATCACTCCGCCTTTCTCGTGCCGTTATAAAAAGGGCAACACCGATCTCCTTACAGCGGTTGTGAAATTCTAATCCGGCTAATTCCAGTATTCTCTTCGGTATCTAACACAAGGGTAGGTCGATCACCTGATAGTAAATTTGGAACCATCTCCTAAGCCTAAACGTACTTCTATTGATGGATGGTCATCCCTCATTAACCGAACACACACGTTTAACTTTTTACGCGTGATCTGCTTGTTTCAACTCACTCGTGATACGCGTCACAACCCTTTTGCTCTCTTTGACGTCTCGTTGTGTTCTGTGTGGCAAACACTTCGGACGAGGAGCTTCGATTTCGTCATCCGATGAGGAAAGAAATTATCACTACCTACTTACTTCATACAGGTAGCCAAGCAAAAAAAAAAAACTTTTAGCACCTCGCACTAACGAAGACACAAAACCGGAACTTTAGAAACTTAACACTGGAAGAGAACGCTCACGGAACAGGAAACTGCTTTCCTTTTCGGCAGAACTTTAAACGACAATAATGGACGACACGCGCGAGATGCGACAACTTCTAACTCCGACTGTGACCACTTTGGCCTGATGGCTGAATCTGGTCTGGATGGGGACGACGACCAGAGTGGCCAGATTATTTTTTTCATTATCGGTAGCTTCTCAAAACTTTTATCGGTAGTTATCGGTAGGTCGACTTAAGAAGGATTTCCCGATAATTGACACTTTTATGAGCGGGGGGGGGGGGGAATACTCTGTGCTCCAGAACAATACACTGTCCTTCAGATCTTCTGATTTAACTGTGTCGAAATCAATTTTTCTATTTATAATCTAAAAATCTGTGATTCTCGGTAGGAAAAGTGAAATATCGGTAGTTTTGAACCTTTCGTCTGTGAATCGGTAGGCACCCCGAAAATCGGTAGGACTACCGATAAATCGGTAGGTCTGGCCACCCTGACGACGACGGACCATAAAGAAAAACGTCACGCAAAGCTGATTTCTCGCGTAACTTTTAAAAATGTCCTAAGTAACAAATGCAAACAAATCGAGTTGATCGATACAACCTATTTCTCTTCTAACATTGTATGTGATACACAAACACCCATCCAAATTTACTTAAGATAATCAGGTCAAAAATGGTCCCATGTACAGTTTGAAATGATGGATACTGATGGAACTTCAACTTCGATTTTCTTAAAATGGCGGATATGTTAAATTGGCTTTTTGAAAAGCTACGCGAGATTTTTGGGCTTTTGCTTTTTGACGTTCACGGTGACGCGAAATTTTCCATCAAAACGAAAGCGAAAAAAGTGCAGGGTCGTGATGAATCAGGTCCGTTAACACTGCCGAATAAAAGTACCCAAAATTAACCCGAATAAAAATAAATTAAGTATTTGTGCTTCAGTTGAAAACTGCCCGCATAAACGCGAACCATAAATTGACCTTACCTAAAATGGTTAAAAATTGTTTATAATCCCTGCTAAACTTTAACTGAAATGGTTATGGAACTTTACATGAACGTTTAATGATAAAGTTTTAACCTTATGTATTATGGTTTTTTGGAACTGGACTTTACAAATAATGGGTTGTTAAGAACCATTACCATTCCAAATTCTTGTTTTCTCCATACATTTTCAGAAAGAGAACTATATTAGAACGTTTTTACTTATGATTTGAGAACATTAATGGTAATGGTTATGGTAGTCAGTAAGGTCCATTAATGGTTTTGTATTATCGCTCAACTTTACGTGGAATATATCGTGAATTGGTAATCAGTAAATTACAGGCAACCAATTCGCGATATATTCCACATAAAGTTGATCGATGTTACAAAACCATTAGTGGACCTTACTGACTACCATAACCATTGCCATTAAAGTTCTCAAACCATAAGTTAAAAGGTTCTAATATAGTTCTTTTTCCGAAAATGTATGGAGAAAACAAGAATTTGGAATGGTAATGGTTCTTAACGACCCATTATTTGTAAGGTCCGCTTCCTAAAAACCATAATACATAAGGTTAAAACTTTATCACACAAACGTTCATGTAAGGTTCCATAACCATTTCAGTTAAAGTTTAGCAGGGATTATAAACAATTTTTAACCATTTTAGGTAAGGTCAATTTATGGTTCGCGTTTATGCGGGTGGAATTACACACCAAATTTCTTAAATCTTGTTCGGTACTTTTTTTCGAGCTTTTTTTGCTGGATTTGTTCGGTGAAATATAATTTTTTCCCGAATGCTTTGTAATCAATATTATTTTACCAATTTTCCGCAATCATAACTGCTGATTTTCCGTAATTTGCAGAAATTTACCGAAAACTGTAAATCAAATTTGCTGATTGAAACTGTAAATGGTTGCGATTCCGCAATTCTGTAAAAATTGTAACGAATGTACTGTAAAAATAATCTTTTACAAAAACAAACTGCAATAAAGTACAGCATTTCTCAGGGGGAATGACACTCATTTGGATGTATTTTTTCAGTCTAGTAATTCATTGGGATTTTCGGGGAAAAACATAATTGATGGGATTTTTTTGAGTGTGTCGTGATGACGAAAATAGAGCAGGGATAGAAAAAATTGATGGGAATAGATCAGGCAATTAATGTGATGTGAGGGGTGTTAAAAATTTCAGAGGTATACGAGTCTGAACGCGAAGAGGATAGGTGTAAAAAGAAGAAAAATTTCCTGCAATGAAGCATCCATGAATTACGTAACGCTTATAGGGGGAGAGGGTGTCACCTATATCGTTACGAATTATACATAGGGGAGGAATAGTAAACCTTTGCGTTACGTAACTAAGAGAACATTTTGTTTTTTTTTTTTGTTTCTTGATGTAAAGTTTGAAAATACAGGTCTTTTTTGACGTTTTTGGTACAACAACGAAGGCTGTCATCACTAAATCTTGCTTTGCAAAATGGATCTGTTTTAATTTTATAAATTGAGATGTTTGCTATCCTTTAACATTTGAAAAGCAGGTACTCGATGGTACGCTGATCTTTTGTTTTTGTTTTGAATATTAATAATATAATTAATTACCTAAAAATAAAAAAAAATACAAAAAGAAATCAAAAATTAATTAAATGAAAAGGCGGGGGGGGGGATTATAGAGCGTTACGTAATAAATAGAGAGGGGTCATTTTCAGTGTAACTTTTTGTTCGAAACGGGGGGGGGGGGTCAAAAATAGTGATTTTTAGCAAAACGGAATTAATGGACACCGCCCAACTATAATAACCAAAGCTCACAGTGCCGAAAACGGTTCCGCACCGAATAGGTCGGAACTGCAAACTAGGAGGAACGGGTGATGGCGATGGATTACAAGGTTCCGGTTAATATTCCCAGCTGTATTTGGACGGGAATTTGATTCGCAATATTCTCGCACAGAAATACATCAGCCGGTGGGTGTCTTACTTCACCATTAGCTCTTTCTTATCCGAACCCTTGACCAGCAGCAGAGACGGTAAAACTTTGGCCGAGTGGAAAAAATGACCTGAATTCCTTTTCCACCTGCTTTTCGTAGGGGGTTTCATTGGTAAGGCTTTTCCCGGGGCTAGAATCAGCAGTTCGACCGAAATCAACAGTTGCTTCGCGCCTGTTCGGCAACTTCCATGCTACAACACACAGAGACCCGGGCTCTTATCCGTCGAATTCGATCGGTTTGAGTCCGGGATGTGCGTTGCCGTCTCCTCCGTGATGCTAGAGATGAACTAGCCTAATAGCATAGAGGTAACTCTAAGACCACTGGGTCCCGAAGAAAATCATTATTATTTTTGGCTCACTCAGTACCAGAACAACGGTCCCAAGCAGTCCCAAGCTATTTCACTCACCCCTGCATGTTCTGCATGAATCCACACACCCCTGATGTTATCTGTCAAACTTTCATAGCGAATCAAAACAAACATAGTGTAGTAATAGAATTTCAACTAGAATAGGGTACGTTAATCGTTTGCTTGGGACCAATAGGCTACTAAAGTGGTGAGCCAATTTAAAATCGTTAGTTTCGTATTGATTGTTGTTATAACTCTGTAGTCTGAACGTACTATAAGGCTAAAAATCTCTTTAATAAAGCTTTAAAAAAAATCCTCCTTGATGCACTTGATGCAGGTTTCAATTAGACCACACTTCAGGGGGTAAGTCACTCTGCCACCTTGTGACTGTGCTGATTGTGTTTCTTGTGTGTTTTTGGGTGTTTCAGGGTGTTTCTGTGTCGAATGAGCTGTCAAAACGTCAAGCGGCAACACACAATGTTTACTGGCAACCATGACTTCCACATCGCTGAAAATGACAGATCCCCCTGCGATCGTCGTTGTTTATTGGCGTTGACGGTGACTGTATACAGCTATAGCTCTTTACTCCTGGTTAAATCCTGTAAAATCCAATTAGCAAACGACAGTCTGTGCGTGATACATGGCGGAATTGATGCACATCTTCGCACCGGACCAGATCGTGGCCAAGTCCCGTTTCTGGTACTTCCTGCGGCAGCTGCGTAAGTTCAAGAAGGCCACCGGTGAGATTGTCTCGGTCAAGCGTATCCTGGAGAAAACTCCGCTGCGCGTGAAGAACTTCGGCATCTGGCTGCGCTACGATTCCCGTCCCGTACCCACAACATGTACCGCGAGTATCGTGATCTGACCGTTGGCGGTGCTGTCACGCAGTGCTATAGCGATATGGCTTCGCGCCACCGTGCCCGTGCCCACTCCATTCAGGTGAGTTGCTTTTTGGTAGTTTTGACCCGGAAAGAATCACTGATGCGAATGTTTTCCCAACAGATCATCAAGGTCGAATCAGTTGAGGCCTCCAAGACCCGTCGGACTCACATCAAGCAGTTCCATGACTCGAAGATCCGCTTCCCGCTGGTGCAAAGATACCACCACAAGCGCTACAGGAAGCTGTTCTGTTTCCGAAGACCGGATACTTTTTATCAGTAAACCAGGAGCCGCCGTTCATGTACTGTTAATTCCACTCTTTTTTAGGGAGTAAAATGATGAAGATCCCGAGGAAGATCCGTAAGAAACCATGGGAGCATTCTTCGTGATTCGTTGAGAAAGAAAATCCGTGAGTGGATTAAAATGTGGATCCTACTGGTTGGAGGAAGTTGGTTCAATGCTTCCCTTGAGAACAACTATTTTGTGAAGATGGATGAGTTTGAATTGGCGATTTCATGCCGCATTAAATTTAGCAATGACAGACTTTTGTAATTGAGTAATGCGGTGTGAACATTTCAAAAGGGCCGAATTGCTTTTGTAAACAATGGCTTTAGACGTCGATTACTCGCGAATGAAAGCTCACAGCTGGTAAACTTCGCCCCGTACTAAGTGTATAAGACTGGTAGTTCTCTACGGGCACGAGTCTCTCGAAACGGATTTCCCATACAACGGAATAGAGAAAGGGGTGATCGACAAATTTGATTGTAATTTATCATCATGAAATCTTCATCTTCGTCAGGTTCGGTAGCATTTGTCGACTCAAGCTTGAGGTTGGCAACCAACGGAGACGGTATTGTTGATGAACATTGAGTCTCGGTGAAATGAGTCGTTTCACCATTTTGCTGATGGTCACTTTCGATCCCGATCGTGTTCTCTATATCGCCCATTTCAATTAGAGGACAATCCTCGATCTATTGGTCATGCCAATTTGTATGATAGAATTGTTATTTGTGAGGTATCAAGCTGGTTCCAACCTGGATCGGGTATCAAGATCGGGTCTGCTTTTTTTTTCTGGCAAACGTCAGTTTGATCGTTTGTTTTTAAAACCTAGCCCAGGTTGAGGTTCGCACTGACAAAAAGTTCGGTTCCGCACTTGGATTGATGAACACACGGTTTCAGTGCTTGGATTGATGAAAAACTATCTGTTATGTGGAGGCTGCCTGGGTCTCGGCCTGGGTGACAAGGTGTTTGGAGTGTGTCGGAGTGTGTTTTTGTGTGTGATGCCAAACTATGAGCATGAGTATTATTTGTATACTAATTATGAGCACTACACAACAACTATACAAAAACTATACAAGTGTGACCCAAGGTGTGCTATTGATGTGCTCATAATTTATTATACAAATAATGCTCATGTTCATAGTTTGTCATACAAGTGTATCCGCGGCATTATTCTCAGTGGCCGTGTAGAGACTGATTAAAACATAATTTAATCGAATTAGTGGAGGCATACTGTACATTATTCAGCTCTGTTTACACTGATCAGTCCGAGTCGTCTCATGAGAGGAGTTGTGATGCAATGAGGTACAGAGAGTACGGTAATCCCAATGAGCTGGATTACCGAGGTGAAGCAATCACTCACACAACCACTGTACGATACACGCAAGTACACGCAAGTAGTGACGTCACTACTTGCGTTTACGTTGATTTTTTGGTTTACTAATACAACCCTATTTCACGATCTGCGCCACCTCTCTCTGTACCTCATTGCGGTAATCCAGCTCATTGGTTGTGATGAACGCGTGAGCAAAACAAAAACCGAGAAGAGAAAAATAACGCGCATCACGCGGTTTTTAATGTTATTGATTGCACGGTTCAAACGGTTGACCAAGACAAATTCTTTGTATTTTTGTTAAAAATATCATTTTCAAATATGTCTATGAACAAGTTTATGCATCCACGCAATATCTATCGACAAAAGCCGGACTTTCAAGTACTGGTCAAGCAATACCCAGAAATGAATCAAGTCGCAACTGTGGTAAGTGTTCCTACCAAAAAACGGTGTAGGCATAATTTGAAACGATTGATAAACGATTCTTTATTTTTATTCAGGATTTGAATGGCCGAATCAAACTTGACTACAAAGATCGGAAGGCTTTGCAGCTGCTAACGGCTTGCCTACTGAAACGGGATTTCGGTCTGGAATTGGACCTGCCACCGGATAAGCTAGTGCCGACCTTGCCCCTGCGTTTGAACTACATCCTATGGCTCGAGGATTTGGAGGAGGCGTTCGGGTGGAAAAACCGATCCGAGGTAAGGGGGTTGGATATTGGATGTGGAGCATCTTGCATATACCCCTTGCTCGGAGTGTCACATTCCAAGCATCGTTGGAAAATGATCGGTTTGGAGCTGCTCGAAGATAGTGTCGAATTTGCCAGGAGAAACGTTGAAAGGAATGGTTTGGCAGAATATATCGAAGTGGTACAGCAGAAAAAATTTTGCGAGAACATTCTGACAGGGTTCATGGAAGGGCAAGAGGAATTAGATTTTTGCATGTGCAACCCTCCGTTCTATGAGGATGAAATATCAGAAAGCGAAAATCGTACATCTAGGAGAAAGGAGCCATCTAATGCTGCTACCGGTTGCGACCAAGAATTGCGTATAGAAGGGGGAGAATTACGTTTTGTTGAAAGGATAATTGACGAAAGTTTGAAGTTAAAAGAGCGAATCTCGATCTACACCTCAATGATTGGTCATAAGAGAAATTTTGAGGAAATTCTTCGCATTATGAAAAGTCGCTCTATAAATAATATTACAACCACGAGGTTTTGTCAAGGGAATACTACACGGTGGGGAATTGCGTGGAGTTTTTCTAGCGCTACTCTTCTGGCTAAAGTACCTGACAGATTTGAACAGGAATCGTCCAAGCGAAAAGCGCCGGGAAAGCCTCTTGACGGAAGAATTTTGTCTCTAGACGACGTTCCATCGCTAGATGTAGCACGTTCCAAATTATTGGCTGTCTTATCGCAGCTTGACCTTGAGCTGAAACCTCTGGTCGATGCAGAGTGCATGTGGGAGTTGTCGGCGCAAGAAAACAGCTGGTCACATCAACGTCGGAGGCGACGAGGAGCGCAAAGAAAACCGAGTCCAGGCAGCGAAAATAGAACAAACGAAGAGCGTGAAAACGGTGCTTCTCCTAGTACCGAAGGAACACCTTCCAAGAGATTGAAAGCGGACAACAGTCATACTGAACCAGTCCTAAAGTCAGTACTTGCCTTGAAGAGTAGGGAAGACGGGTACTATCTAGCTTTAAGTTATTTAAGCGGCATTGCTGGAAAAGATGCTCTCAACCAGATTTTGCAGTTTGTGAAAAATAACATACAAAAAGTTCAGTAGCTACACTGCAGTTTGAATGCGTCCGAAACCTCTAGAATAACATCAAATAGACCAAGAAATATAATTTATTTAACATACAAATCTTATGAAGAAATTTTCCAAAAACATATCTTCCGATCCTGTCCAGCAACCACGTATGGTAGTTGATAATGCCAGCAAAGACCTCCGTACAGTAAGAGCTTGGCTTCAATTTGTGGAACCGGGTTCTTGACATGAATCACCTTCAGCGTTGTCCTCGGTCGGCCCACACTGGCAACAATCGTTTCCGAATGCGGAGCAAACTTTACGATGTGTCCACAATCTTCGTGAATCCTTTTGTTCTCGATCGGTCTGCTTGGTTTCTTCAAATCCCAAAAGACCATCTCACCACCTGCCAGCGCAACAACATACGCTGAATTGTTCAGACTCCAGTCAGCATAATTTAAAGGATTCTTGCTGCTTTCCACTGATAGGATCGCCAATTTTGACTCGACATTGTAAAGGTGGACGATTCCGGACTTCTCCGCTATCAACACCTTCCCCGGTTCATCGGGATGCCACTTGGCGGAAACAACCGCCGAACCAAAGAAAAAAGTTGATCCTTTGGCGTAGTCCTCCTTCACCTTCCACATTATACACATATGGTCATCTCCGCACGAAGCCAAATATTCGCCTTCCGGATCCCAGCTAACCTGGTTTATGTAGCTGCGATGTCCCTGCAAAATTCGTACCGTATTGTTGTCCTCCAGGTCGCTATTGAATATTCGCAGATTGAAATCCGCTCCCGCTGTACAGATGATGACCACTTTAGGAAGTACGGCTAGTGAAGTTTCTGGTGCAAAGGCCACTGCATGGCAGCGGCTCTCATGGTGTATCTCCTTGATTTGGTTCCACTCGAAGTTCTCGTAGTCGTTTTCCTCCTAGAAAAGAAATCAGATAATAAATTGATCACATTGTATCAGTCAATTTATTCCGAATTAAAAGATTGAACTATGTACCGGAAAACGAACGATGCCCAATATCAGCTTGTCAGCGAGAGCGACGCAAAGTAGATTTTGGGACCACTCGTAGCTAGATAGTTCGAAGGCAACAATCTTCTCCGGAAAAGCAATCGAATGCGTTGGTGGGGAACTGTTTGATGAATCCATTTCGCTGGCGGTAAACTACGGAAATGGATAGGAGTTACAGAACGAAAAGAACTGGCGAGCGTGTGAACTCTGACGACGGGTAGATCGTTTGCGCTAATTTTGTAAACAGTAAATAGTCCCCGCTTTTGTTACCGGAATGTCAAACAGACGCGGCGCGTTTAAAAACGACGAAACTGCCTGATTGACCAAAGACAAATTAATTTTTAGTACACGAACTGAAAAGAACTCAAAAAGCCGGAAAATTAAATGGGTACATTTCAGAGATAAACGCACTGTAACAGGAAAGTACCAATTAATGGGTACTATTTCACCCATTTTGAAGTAAAGTAGGTTAACCCATTTAATGGGCACAATTTCACCCATTTTGAAGTAAAGTAGAAAAACGCATTTAATGGGTAAAAAATTACACATTAATGGGTAACTTATACCCATAAATGTATAATTGTTAGCCATTAGAGGGTAAAAGTTAATCATTAATGGGTAATTTTTTTACCCATTTAATGGTTTAACCTACTTCACTTCAAAATGGGTGAAATTGAACTCATTAATGGGTATTATAATGTTATAGTGCGCTATAAAGTTCTCCAGATGCATAAAAGTGTGCGTGAGACCACGCGCTACCTTTTTAAGTACACCGAAAAAAGTTTGCATGTAGCTTCCATTGGAAATGCACATGATTTTTATCCATAATCAAAATTAATGGAATTCATCTGAATCGATCCCATTCAATTTATGTGATTTTGCAAATGAATTTCATCGGCCTCATAATATTCATGTGATTTTGTGGTGGGATTTGCTACTATGTGATCACAGGAAAACTATGTGAAATTTACATGAATCTCATCCATTAGATATGTGATAATTTTTTTGAGTGTAGTTGTAATATCGTGATACCTTTTTGGTTCTTGTTCTTCTTCATTTTTATATATGGATGATGGATTTTAGTGTGAAATTGCGTTTGAATGTCTACACTCAAAAAATTTATCGCATATCTAATGGATGAAATCCATGTGATTTTCACATAGAGATCTCTAAGCGCAATCTCACGAACACTAAAATCCACCATCCATATATAAAAATGAATAAGAAGAAGATACAAAAAGGTATCGCGATATCACAACTACTTAAAAAGGTAGCGCGCGGTCTCACGCACACTTTTGTGCATCTTGAGAATTCTATAGCTTTCCTGTGATCACATAGCAGCAAATCCCACCACAAAATCACATGAATATTATGAGGTCCATGAAATTCATATCAAAAATCATATAAAATTAATGTGATAACATAAATATTATGTGAAATTCAGATGAATACTCGCCTAACTTTTCAAAAGGTCCTAAGTAACAAATGTAAACAAATCGAGTTTATAAATGCACATTGTAACATTTGTACCTAAGAACATTATGCACACACACACATTCAGATTAATGTCAATTGAATTGAGAAAATTCTTAATTAACAAAACGTCTGAAGTCCGAATTTGCATTAACGATGTTTCACTGTTACATCAGACGTTTGACTATGTTCATCAAGAAAAACGTCTGAAGTATCAGAAAAACCAAAACAGTGCAGATCTGTACTTCAGTCCTTTGTGTTTATACGAGTAAAACGTCTAAAATGTTCAAACAAACCAAAACAATGTGATTGTGCACATCGGAATTTTCATGTCAAGCATTTTTCTACTATTTCCGCGTGTGGGGGTTGACAATTATCCACGGCCCATACAAATTTTAAAATTTTTATATGGACAATTGTCTACGCATGTGGAGGGTGGGGGTCAAGAATACCGAAAAGCTGTCTACGTAGTTAATGAACAGCCCCTAAAATAACACGGTTATCAAATAAAAAGCAGCTCACGCGACCACCAACGATCGACCAAAACAATCTGTGGGCAGTGTTGCGATATACCGTTAAAAAAAAGTAGATGCATTGTCCAATACTCATATTGTTCGTTTAACTCGTATAACTTAAATTATGCACTCATAATGCTTAAAAACAAACAAATAGTGTTGAAAACATAAATGACCTATGTAACTGTGATTATAACGTATATAGGACGTTATAACATGTCCAATGTACACCTGACAAGAGCAAAATGTCCTATGTAACATTTTTCACGTTTTCATAGAAAAAATGTATGAAACGGGTAGATTATAATTTCAATTTCAATTTTACTATCGCATTTTACTATTAAAGGTCTTAAAAATGTCAAAAGTTGATTTGGTCTAAAATAGTATCAAAAAAGATTTTGTCAATCTTCAACCTCGTTTTTCTCGAAAAGAGTGAAATGTTAGATAGGACCTTTTGAAAAGTTAGGCGAGAATACCATTAATTTTGATTATGGATGAAAATCATATGTGTTTCCAATGGAAGCTACACAGAAATTCAAAACAACCCAAAATTAAGTTCTTTTCACTCATCTCCCATGTTCCGTACGATAAGCCAAATTTGGGTAAACCGGCTCAAAGTAGTTTGCATTTAAGCACGGCAAAAAAAAATTACCCATCGCTAAGTTATTTTCAATTTTTTCTACCCAAAATTAAGTTCAATTAACTCAAATTTGGGTATATCGCATATTACTCAATTTTGGCTTCTTGTACGGAACTAGACGGTTGAGTCGAATCTTTCGTTCTATTTTTGACAACAATAGCGAGAGGAAATGAAACGGACAGAGGTCAAATAACTCAAATTTGAGTTTAAAAAACCCAAGCGGTGGGTAGTTTTGTTTTTCTGTGTACATGAAAATTATTTTCGGTGTATTTCAAAACCCTCGCGTAACATTTTAAAAGGGCAGTGGCGTCGCCTTAACCTCAATTTACCTGTGCACCAACTCTCAAAACATAAACAATTATCAAAATATTGCTTGCAATGGATAGATATCGAGTTAACTAGAAGATTAAGTGTATTTTTCAACCGATTCGAGTATGAATATGGCATTAAATCTGTTTTTGAAAGTTGGTGCACAGGTCAAAAGTGAGGTTACGCGACGCCACTGGAAAAGGGCTTATCCTTGTTGATCGATTCTCTTCATCTATACCTCTTATTATCTCTTCATACCTCCTGGGCTCAGCTCAACTTTTTGAGATCCATAAACATTTATTTTGAAAACAAGAATAGTGATAGCAATAATATCCAATTTTTAAAACGAAAGATTTAAAAATCATTTTAATTGTAGTAAACATTCATTTTAAAAGTGATATTTGAGACAAATTTTCATTTTCATACTGTTATATTATTTGCTTTATACTATAAACATTTATTTTGAATAAACTGCGTTTACACATTTGTGTCCGATCAATGACCTGTTGGTCCATATTTATCGACGTTATTAATTTGTCAACTTGTCAATCCCAACACAGTTTACCCATTTTTGGGTAGGTTAAGTTTTAATCGATCTGGGTGAATTCTACCCAAATTTTGGGGAGTTTTGATATAGCGTGCACGCTATTTCAAAACTACCCAAATTTGGGTAGAATCCACCCAGATCTGTCAAAACTGAACCTACCCAAAAATGGGTAAACTGTGTTGGGAGTGACAACTTGACAAATGAACAACGTCGATCGGATTCATATCAATGTTGTTCATTTGTCAACTTGTCACTCCCAACACAGTTTACCCATTTTTGGGTAGGTTCAGTTTTGACAGATCTGGGTGGATTCTACCCAAATTTGGGGAGTTTTGAAATAGCGTGTGTGCATTTTGACGAACAGATTGGAAACACTTTTGACAGACATCCATACTTTTACTGTAGGGCTTTAGTTTGAAGTTCCGGAAAACTTCGAGATTAGGGCGTAATTGCTTTTGTAAACCAACACTTCATTGACGATTTCTCGCGAATTAAAGCTCAATCTCAAAAACTAATAACACAAACAGGTAGACGAATGGTTCTTCTATTATTTGGTATAGTTCGTTTGAGAGATTGCTCTTTTATTTGCGAGAAATCAGCGATTGACATGTTTGTTTACAAAAACAATTACGCCCAAATCTGAAAGTTCTCCGGAGTTGTGAGCTGCGAGAAAGAAAAATTTTGTGGTTATAAGAAGTGATCCTGCGAATCGAAAGGAAGTTTATCTAATTTATCGTGAAGCATTTATCCCGTAGATATCTGCAAAACAAACACCGAAAACAACCGGAAATGGTGAACCATTAGTAGCTGGCGGAAAGTCCGGTAAGTAGTGAAAATTCTGACCGGCAAGAAATGAATGTTTCGTCGCACAACGAGCAAAAGCGAAGCAACATGATGAGGTGACAGCAGAAAAAAAAAATAATGCGAACATGGAGTGCAGCAGCCTTCTGATGGTGCTGATGATGGCCCGAGCCAAGCCAATCATGTTTTGGTTGAGCTTTGTTTTTCTTTATTGCAGTTCATAAAATTTACATTACCATAAATTGCATCGTAAAATGAACTGGGATTTCCTTGCGTTGTTTTTGCAGTTGACACATACACTGAAGGTAGAATCGGGAGGAAACCGAGTGTGCAGTGCACTGGCCGACAATTAGAGGAATTTTAATTGTTTTCGAGAGAGACCTTGAGGGAGGGTAATAAGAAGGTTGTGGAACTGATTTCATCGCGAAATGGAACCCGCAGGTGAAGTTGTAGGCCTGGCAAATGAATTGGCCCGGGCAGTGAAGATAACGATGGATCCAGCTGCCTCGCAACAGGCTCGTATGGATGCCTACGTTGCCTGTGAAAGGTAAATGTTTTTTGCTGTTGTCTTGAATCGATGAGAGACATTTTTTTCCTCTTTCAGGTTTAAGGAAGTATCACCCCTCTGTGCCCAAGCAGGGCTCTTTCTTGTCACAGGAAACTATCCAGCTGTAGTTCGGCACTTTGGACTGCAGTTGATGGAGCATACGGTTAAATTCAACTGGAATAACATTTCTCGACAGGAGAAGATATTCATCAAAGAAAATTCCATGAAGTTGCTTGGCGAGGGGGTTGGAGAGGCACAGGACCAGAGCGTTTCGCACATTAAGGATGGCTTGTCGAGGATCATTGTAGAAATGATAAAGCGCGAGTGGCCACAGCAATGGACGACCCTGTTGGCAGAACTTAGCGAGGCATGTTCGAAAGGTGTCGCCCAGACGGAGCTGGTTCTGCTAGTATTCTTACGATTGGTGGAAGATGTGGCTCTTCTACAGACAATTGAAAGTAACCAGCGGCGAAAGGATATCTACCAGGCGCTGACGTCGAACATGGCGGAAATTTTTGACTTCTTTCTGAGGCTGATTGAATTGCACGTGGGAGAATTTCGGAACGCAACGGCCATCGGGGACAAGCATAAGGCACTTGGTCATAGTCGGGTTGTTCAAGTCGCTTTATTGACTCTGACTGGGTTCGTGGAATGGGTGTCTATAAACCACATAATGGCTGCCAATGGAAGATTATTGCAAATTCTGTGCATTCTACTGGTTGACGTTGAATTCCAGCAACCTGCAGCTGAATGTTTGCTGCATGTAGTAAATCGCAAAGGGCAGGTCAAGGACCGGAAGCCATTGTTGATCCTTTTTGATGAAGTTCCTGTGAGTCATTACTATCGTGCAGCATTGCAAACGGAGAGAATGGGAACTGAATCCTACTATCAGTTTCTGAAGAAGCTGGTCCAGGTGCTGATGGGTCTGACTACTCAATTGACCGGTTTGTGGGGCAAAGAGGAATGTCAAATTCCGCGACAAAGTTTGATCACATTCCTGGAAACGGTACTCATCTTCACCCGGCATTCGAGCTTCACCTTGTCTCACTATGCCGCCCTGGTTTGGATGGGCCTGCTGAAACACGAACAAATTTCGCGGGATCCGTTGCTGATGGAGTACATTCCCAAGTTGATCGAGCTGTTCGGTCCTAAGATAATCAAAGTTTGCTACCCAGCGTCCCGGCCAACGGAGATTACAATGCATCCGGAAACCTTCATCAGTCTCGACTATGATGACGAGGAAGAATGGTTAATTTTCTTCGCCCGGGCTAGGACCGATTTTCTGGAAATATTCCGTCAGGCAACGCTCATGGCACCCCTCGTGACCTTCTCTTACTGTGAACAATGGCTCAACGCAAGACTACAGAAAGCGCATTCCGAACGAAATACGACCTGTAGCGTAACCGATCCCGTCTACTTGGAATGGGAAGCCTTGGTTAACGTGCTGGATGGTGTCCTCTCGCGGATTCTAATGGTGACGGAACGTCCCTCCGTTCCTGCAGGGTTACGTTTGCTGGAGGAATGCCTCAAGGTCGACTCCACGGACCCGTTGATCTTCTCTGTGCTTTTATCCTGCATTTCGTCGCTGTTCGTGTTTCTCAGCATGTCGTCGTGTCAGATCACCGCCGCCAATTGTGTTGCCATGTCGGGAGTGCAACTGCTTCCGAGAGTTCTGGATAAGATCTTTGCCGCGTTGGTATTCCAACTACCCGGTGCAAACCGCATCAATCAATGCATCGCCGTGAAGAACCTCCGACGCCATGCAGCTTCACTGATGGTCAAAATAGCTCACAAGTATCCCCTACTGTTGCTGCCCATCTTTGACCAAATCAACACCAGCGTGCATAATCTAATCCGACAACAAGATCAGCTTAGCAATGTGGAACAAATCACCCTGCTTGAGGCTCTTCTTCTGATTTCAAACCACTTTTGCGACTACGAGCGACAGAGTAATTTCGTCACGGAAATTACCCGCGAAGGAGTTTCACTGTGGATGCAGTTGGCTCCGGTAGTCAGAAATGCTCACAGCTTTATCGACTTTGTCGGATTGAACAAACCCCCGGTGGAACCGAATTCCGGCATTCAAGACCCGTGCAACGTCACCAGGGGTCAAATAGTGTACGCCCTCAATTTAATCCTCGGTATCATTAAGCGATGCTCCTGGCCGGATGATCCGGATCGTTGCTCCCGAGGTGGGTTCGTAGTTGCCCTCACCGAGTCAGGAAATCCAATCTGTCGGAATCCGGCCACGTCGCACGTGGTTCCTCTGTTGCCACACATCCTAGCGTTGATGCGAGTGCTCAACGAGCTTTGGAAGCCGGATTCTTTGGGTGCGCTAAATGCGCACTTCAAAGGTGCTAACGGCATGCAGGAACACGAGAAGAAACAACTGCTCGGCGTTACTTTGGTCTACCAAGATCCAATGGATCCTACGACAAAGAAACCACCGACGGCATTCGATCGGATGCAGACGTTTCTGTCGTTGATCTTTGAGCATTGCTACCACATGATGGGATCTGCCGGTGAGTTAGCGTAATAACTAGTATTCTGCATCTGATAACTAACAATCAATCATTTCCTCTTAGGACCTTCCCTTGGTCGCGATCTGTACGCCCTGCCGGGTATTGCGGATGCGCTGATCGGTAGCATCTTTGCTTCGCTGGAAAACGTGCCGGACTTCCGTCTGCGTACGATCATACGCGTCTTCTTCAAACCGTTCGTCTACTCCTGTGCTCCAATATTTCACGAAGCGGTCCTACTGCCCATCTTTGCCCATATTGCACCATTCAGTGAGTTTGTTTTATTTCCCGACCCTCCAACCCAATACGCAATCGATCCCAGGCGTTAATGTCAACATTTGTTATTTACCTTTGGATAGTGCTTTCAAGACTGACCGCCCGTTGGCAGTACATCACGGCACTGTACGAATCGGGTGAGCTGGGAGAGGACGTCAACGACACTCAGGAGGTGCTGGAGGATATGTTGAACCGTACGCTGACGCGGGAGTACATCGACGTGATGAAAGTGGCCCTGGTGGGGAGCACGGTGGATCCGATGACACCGAATGCTACCAACGAGGCCAGCATGGATCACGATGACCAGAGTATGGACGGGCCACCGCATGCACTGACCCGAGCGGCCCAAACTGCCATGACTTCGGATGTGATTAGCGACTTGGGTACTAAGCTGCTGCGCAACCAGTACACCTGTACGCCAATCGTGATGACCGTGCTGAGGTGAGTTCAACTCGTTCATAAAATGGTTATATTCAAATGAAGCAATTCTCTTTTCTCCGAATCAAGTGTCATCACCTGGAACGATAGCACCTCAAGTCTAAAGGCCGTCTTCCTCAGCGGCCCCATCATTCGGTTCCTAGCCTCAGAACAGCTTATCACTGACACCCTGGCATCGAACATCATCATTGCCGTCCTCCAAGGACTTCAACTGCACGGACAGCATGAATCGAATCAGGTAGCTAGAAGAGATCCGTCAATGTTTTCCTGATTGATTCGCTCACGATCCCCTCAATCTCTCGTCTAATAGGCCGCCCTCAACACCCTGGGTGTGACGGCGTACGAAATCCTCCGGCCAAAGTTTCCCAATATCCTGGAGGTGTTGCAGCAGATCCCGAACATCAGCGCGGCGGACATCCAGAAGCTGGACGAAAAAATCTCGCTCTCCACAAGCACCAAGGGCAACAAAATCGACAAAGCCAAAAAAGATCTGTTCAAGAAAATCACCTCGCACATTGCCGGGCGTAGTGTCGGTCAGCAGGGCAAGAAGGAGGTTCGAATTTTGAACCTCCCGCCGATCGTACAGCCGATCGCCGGGGGTCACAACTCGTACAACAATCTGACCGATGGTTCACAGGAAACCGGCCTGGCGCATCTCTTCGTCACTCGGAGCTAGTGTCCGCGAAACTAATCATGCCACTACTACTATTACTATACTAACTACACACTTCTGCTAGGACCTATCAAATAGGCGCTGTTGCTTAGATTTTAAATGGAAAAATTGTAATCGTAGGCCATCATCTCATCTAAGCATTTAGGTAACCCTCCCCGGGCAGAAAGGAATCAATTGTGCGTGGCTTTAGGTCGAAACATTTTAAATCATGTTTGGATTCATATGCAAACCGCAGTTTCCTACCCCGTATTCTGTTGTCATGCAACACCAATTCAATAGGCAAGTGTTTTCCTTACTTTTAATGTTTAGTATTTATTAGAACTTTTTGTTTGATTGTTGAGCTTTCTGCTGGATAGAGGACATTCTACACTTACTGTAATAGAAGAGAGGAAACAAGCAAACCATCAGTACGTATAGAACGATTCAAATTACTGAATAACTTAAATGTGAGAACGACTAATATAAGAAGTAGTGAGCAGTTAAGAAGGTTAGAGAAAGAAACCTGAAATACGCTAACCGCCGGTATGTGCATGTGTTCGCGAGACGGTATGAAAGAATGTGCGAAGATGGCGACGTGGCAAGCCATTGTGAACGGAAAAGAGGCATCACTTCTGGGATGGTATGGAAATTCGAGACACTCTTGTAAGTACTATTATACCTACTTGTTCAAGTAAATGTAAAACCTAAATTATGGTGTTGAAAAGACCGGGAAATCATATTGAAATTGTAGAAACATAAACCGTAAAAATAAAAACCAATAATAATCGATTTTTATTATCAATTTGAGTGAAAGGTCGTTGCTACGTCGGTAGTGAATATCACATTTTCGCCATCATATGAATAAAGAATAGGGTTGATAGGTTATGATTATAGCGGATACACATAGTTTAAAAAAAACTCACCACGTGAAGACGCTCAAGCCTTTGCAGCTTGTTTTGCAGAAAGCTTTCATTTTACAAACCGTTGCTGAATATTACATCCAAACAGCTGCACAGAGGTAATGTAATTTTACGTTGTACGATGTACATCGATTTTGCGAACAAAATTACATTGTTTATTGTTGTTTTACATCAACAGGCTGGATGAAGCCCCAATGATGTTTCAACTATAGTAAAAAAATACATTCAAGCATGGTAATAAGTAATAACATAAAAAAACATATATCTAATAGTCAGTTACTCCTGCCGGCGAAAAACAGAAGAAAACTTTCGACGAAGCGCATCACGGGAGAGATGAAAGCCGAAAACAGATGCAACACTGTTGAATGTTCTCTGCAGTCCGCAAATCGCACCGTATGCTCCGTAATTTGTGCGACGTAGAGGCAGTCTTAGCCTTAAGGCTATTACGAAGCGGTCGGGGTTGAACATTCAGGTCAATTTGCCTCAGGAAAGCCTCGCAATCTGTCCTTCCTTGCAGGATATCGGCCAAGGTTAGGGTTCTGCTTGTGTCTCTTCTAGTCCGGAGAAGTTCTAGGTCGATAAGTTGACAACGGCTTTCGTAATTAGGTAATCGAAACGGATCATTCCAAGGCAATCTACGCAACGCAAAACGAAGAAAGCGACGTTGAACAGATTCAATTCTCTCGGCACCGTTGTTGTAGTTTGGGTTCCAAACCGCTGAACAATACTCAAGCGTCGATCGAACAAGCGAGCAATAAAGATATTTTAGACAGTAGTTATCAGTGAAGTTTTTAGCTATCCTAAAAATGAACCCTAAAGTTCTTGACGCCTTATCGACAACATATGCCATGTGTTGTTTGAATGAAAGCTGCGAATCCAAGATCACACCCAAGCCTTTCACCGGATTCACGCGTTCGATTATCGAGTCAAGCAGGTCATAGCTAAATATTATCGGTTGTTGTATTCGTGCGAATGTAATTGCGGAGCTTTTGGCTGAGTTCACTACCAATCTGTTTAACCTGCACCAACTAGCGAATACATTCAGCTGACGTTGAAGAAAGTGACAGTCAGCAATGGAGCAGATTCGTAGGCAGATTTTGAGACCATCTGCATATGATACCCGAGGAGCTTCGATGACCAGATGCACGTCGTTGAAGTACAGTGTAAAAATTAACGGTCCCATGTGGCTTCCCTGAGGTATACCTGATGTGACGAAGAAGCTAACTGATCTGCAATCTCCTATGGCAACCTTTAGTTGCCGACCGATAAGATATGATCGAAACCAACTCTGAATAAATAACGTCCGTTTGAACCCGATCCGACATGCTTTCGGTTATATACGATGTGAGACGCAGCAGATTGGTGGTTGTAGAGCGGCCGACAGTAAACCCATGTTGATCAGCACTCAAATACTGCTTGCAATGGGACAGCAACGGTTCCATAATCACTAGCTCGACTAGCTTCGAAACGGCACTTAACGATGTAATTCCTCGATAGTTATCCACAGCTCGTTTCCTTCCTTTTTTGTGGACGGGAAACATTGTTTATTGTTTATTGTTTATTGTTTATTGAAAAATTCAACTGACAAATACTGTCTAAATGAATAAAACTTAAACTAAATAGTTACGGTCAACGGTACGGAAAAGGCCAAGTAGCCGATGACGAAACACGTCAGCTGATACATTGAAGTCGAACATATCTAGACAGAGCTGGAATTAGGGCGAAGCAGCTTTTGTAAACATTGACTTCTCTCGATGATTTCTCGAAAGTCATATTGCTCGCCCTGGCAAATCGACATCCCCAGCGATTAGGGGAAGACTTCCCATACTCTATGGATATGTTGCTTTATGTAGGCGTGCCTTGAATTCGTAGAAATCATCGAGAGAAGTCATTGTTTACAAAGGCTGTTACGCCCTAATTCCAGCTCTATCTAGATATAAAAAAAGTTGTTGAATTGCCGGCTGATTGCTCGAATTGGCTCGTGTTGTGTATAATTCCGGCTCCGTGGTTCCAAAAACAGAAAGTCGCGTTGACGAAGAGACATCTCAGTGACAGCAGTGTTGGGCAGTCAATGTCACCTGTAAGCAGCTTTCCAGCGAACATAGCTTGAGCGACCGTCCGTCTCACCTCTAATGGCTCGATTCCCAGGAGACGGCAACGCTCCTCGTACGGTGGCAAGTTCGTTGGGTCACACCAGTTGAGGAAAACAAGAGCGTTGAACGGAATCAATTCTAGTGATCCAGCTAGCATGGAAAGGGCACCAAACAACTGAACTTGACTCCAATAAGGATCGCACAAGCGAGCAGTAAAGTGACCTGAGACATAGCGGGTCACGAAACTCGTCGGCAATTTTGAAAATAAAGCCCAATTGTCGATTAGCTCTGGAGATGATGTCATTGTAGTGGATTCTGAAAGTGAGTCTGCAGTCCAAGGTAACGCCGAGATCCTTTATGTGCTCTACACGAGCAAGACAGCGTCCGTAGAGAACATAGTCAAACATGATTGGTTCAATTTTTCGGTGATATGAAATAATGTTACATTTTTCTATGCTTAGACTCATCAAATTTCTTGAGCACCAGTCAGCAAAAATACCTAACATATTCTGGAGATTCCAGCAGTCCGAGAGGCTTTTAATAATTTTGTAGATTTTCGTATCGTCTGCATAGAAAACGCGGCATCCTAATGGTATCAGCAAGGCGACATCGTTTAAAAAGATCGAAAATAGTAGCGGTCCTAGGTTACTGCCTTGCGGGACTCCCGAGTTGTTTGAGAAAATATCCGATTCCGACGCGCCAATCTTGACATGTACATAGCGATTCACCAAGTAAGATCTGAACCAATCCACAGCAGTTGACGAGATGCCAAGTATCTCCAGCTTGGCCAGCAGGATATTATGGTCCACCGTGTCAAATGCAGCTTTTAGATCCATATACGCAGTATCGACTTGCCATCCTGAATCCATGCATCGCAGACAGTTAGAAGTGAACTGCACCAGGTTCGTGGACACGGAGCGCTTCGGGTAGAAACCGTGTTGTTCTGTATCGATATAATTTTTGCAGCGTGCGAACAGAGCACCATTTATGATAATCTCGAACAGTTTTGAGCAGGCACACAGGGAGGTGATTACACGAAAATTTATGACATTCCGTTTATCTCCTTTTTTGTGTACTGGGAACAGATAAGAAAGTTTCCAGCGGCAGGGGAACTCACATTGCTGGGCCGAGAGATTGAATAGCCTCGCAAGTGGAAGGCAGAGATTGGCTACACAACGTTTTAGAACTGATGAAGGAATGCCGTCAGTTCCGGCGGCGAACGAGAGCTTCGGTTTGCGTGTTGCGGCTATCACCATGTCTTCTGAAATGCGCGGAATAACGAAACTAAACACATCACGTGGCATCCCAACAGCAGCATCCAGCACTTGTGTTGGCGAAGCGGAGAAATCGTCGAACACTTGCTTGAAATGACGAGCAAACAAGTCGCATTTTTCTCTTTCACTATTAGCCGAGTCATTCCCGAGAAACATGGAACAAGGCAATCCGGATTCCTTCCGTTTTGAGTTGACAAACGACCAAAAACTTTTCGGATTCGTGCGAAGGTTCGCTTCCGTGCGTCTCATGTGTCGATTATAGAGAAAACGATTGTAATTTCGATAACTACGACTCGCAAAATTGAACAGTCGTTTGTAGTACGGCGAGCGAGAGTTACAATACTTTCGGAGGGCGGCAGAGAGTTGACGTTTTAGCACGCGTAGGCGTAGGTTAGACCATGCAGGCTTTAGCGGAGGTCGTCGAGCTGGGACAATGCGGAAAATAGCATCTTCCAGTGCAGCACTGAAAAAATCCACTGCATCATTCACGCTAGCGGCAGTTTCGATAAATTGCCAATCAATTTCCGCAAGCGCATTGTTCAATGCAACATAATCGGCCCGGCGAAAGTCCAAAGAGTAGCACTCAGATGACGGCGTAAAAAGAATCGGCGCAGGTAAACTAAATGACACGACGAGAGCGGGATGATCGGCATCTAGATCAATCAGTGGCTCGACGGGCAAGGAAACAGAAGTGCCCGGTAGTGCGGAATCATTTGCCAGGACAAGATCTAGCAAACGTCCATTTCGGTTCG